GAGAATAAACTTGTTTTTAGATTGGAAGATGATGAACATCAAGTGAAAGCAATAGAAGCTGTTTTTATAGTATTTTTGGATGATAAGTATGATCCAAGTGTCCGTTTGGGCTGTGCCCGAAGATTTGTTCGACCTCTCTTACAAGGCTGCAACAGAAATGCTGCACGTGAATTCTACAGGCGTTACATAAAAGACCTACAGAATATGCTTCAAGTTAAGATAGACATTCATGGTCAAATGCAAGCAGAGCATAAATTGGTTGGAAGAATAGGTGCCTGGAATATACTTGAACCACTGTTTGTGCAGCTGGAAACGAGTGAATTAGAGAGCAAGGAATGTGTTGTTACAGCAGCAGCATTTCCTCATGCTGTTAAAACTGGGAAGGAACTCATTTCAGATCTCACATCCAGGTACAGAGACAAGTATTTGTAACACTACTGAAATGAAAATGCAGCAAAACCTATAACTTTAGTGATCTCATCTGAGACAAAAATTTGTGGGATTTGTTCAGGTAGCATGTAGTGTATTTTTGTATCTTATATTTCTATATAAGATGCCCAACAAATACATAAAAATTAAAATTTTGTTCCTTGTAAAGCAAAGACTGGCATACTGTATGCCTCTAGCTGTAAGTGATTAAAAGTTTTGTGCTTTTTCCCAGTTTTAATGAATATATTTCTTACTGTGCTATCTCTTCACTCTTATCTACTTCAAATACCTTATTATATTTTCTGTTGCAGTAAATTTCATGTTTTGTCAGTGGTTTCATAAATTTACTATACTTTTATCAATTTTGATGAAGCTTCATAATAAGTATTGTGTTCGTTTTTTCATTACAGAGCTTTGAAGTACCGCAGTGAAACGTTATCTGATAATCTGACTGGAGCCACACATTTGGTTGAGTTATTTCGACAATCTCAGTGTGCTGCATTTAATGCTCTGGTTGCCATAATCAGTAATGTCAAGCGAGAACTCAAGTTTTATGCTGGTTTATTGTTTGTTGGGCACAAAGAGGTACAGTCATTTTCTATGTAGACCAAACTTAAAGAATGTGGTTTTCAGTACTTAATCCCTTCACTGTAGTGATTGAGTGTATTTGATTTTGTTTGAGTGGTACAACCTTTCTGCAGTTGACTTGTTTGATTTACATTTTGGGGTCTTATTGCATGGATTGTAATCAGTTTATAATTTTCTAAATTTATCCGTAAGCTTCTGCCATATAATTAATATAGGTGGAACTCATTAAGTTCCTGAAACTTGAAATTTAAATAAATTTAATTAATGTAGGTTGCATTATTGTACATAGCTTAAATACAAAATTACATTGTGAAATATATTGCTTTAGGTGCTGTGGGAGAAACTGGTGGACTGTAGGAAGGAATACTTCCTAGTGCTAGATTGGGAAGAGATTCCAACACGCAGGAAACAGCTAGTGAGCATTCGTTGTCAGGCCCGTGCTCACAGAAAAGAAATCTCAAGTTTTGCTTCAGAATCAGTCCATTATATCCCAAGTGCTTCACAATGCCTGTTTGACAGTACACTTAATGAAGACGTGACATTGTTTGACTTCAGCACGTCTGTGGTTCGCAACGAGACCATAGCAAGTCATGATGGAAAGGCATTGGAAGAGGTAAATATTTTGTTTTCATAATGGATAAAGTTAGAATTTACCATCAGAAATAAAAAGAAAAAGTTTACCTTGAGGTTTGTTACAACCAAAACATCTTTTATAAAATTTCTTTGCAGTAAAAATAATTATATATTAATTATTCTTGCTATTGTTAATAAATCTGATCAAAAGTCAGATACTTAATCACCGTCACCGTCCTCCTGTTTTTATCAAGTCTACTGGTATTAAAATCAGTTAAATAACACAATCCTGCAGCCTTTGTTTGAATACGTAACATTATATATTGGTGTCTTATAGTAAGTAACTTCACACATACTAATATTATTAACCCTAGTAGGAGTTTAAAAGTCACTTTGTTGTATTCTGCTGAATTATGTTTTTATGCATTCTTTGCAAGAATTATATGAATCATAATTATCATAACTAGTGACTATCCATCCATTCACCCACAGTTTATCTTTTAAACTATTCAATAAATTTTGTTGAAATTTGGTATTGTGCATAAATTTTGTCTGTGGACTCCACGTGACCTTCATATAACAGATGAGACCAGAGATGGGAAGTGACGGTCAAACTTTTTTTGTAATATTAACATTAAATGAGCTTGTTACTGACCCCTATTATTCCTACAGAATGAATGAACCATTGCAGAGACAAGTCCAGTAAAAAGGATACTTACACTATCCCTCCTAGTGACAAATATGTTCCTTTGTGCAGTGTTTTAAAATACTTGGAATTTACGCTGTTCCCTGGAAATACATGAATGCATTGAAGAAGTATGCAAGACAACCAATAAATGATTATATACAAGAAAATCTTATGCATATAAACAGCATAATTATCCCTAGTTATATCATGCTCTGCTTAGATGTTTTGTGTTGTGTGCTAGACCAGAAACATCAGGAAAACTACTAGAATATGAGTCTAATTTCTACTTCTGACATAGATAATTTGACAACAACAACACACCAGTACTACACAGAAGGTATCACAACTACTTGCAAAAATTGACTAATGAAGGTACAAGGATATAAGAATGTGGGACGAATAGAGACAAAGAACCATAAAAGAAATTTGTTAGAGATAATGTCTATCAGTGACCTTTAGAACACTTTTTCCATCTAATGAGGAATTGGTAGGAATAAAATAAATCTGGATAAAAATTTATAGCCACAAAATTCCAACTGCTATTAGTTAACTTGTGATAATATATTTGGAGTTGAATTATCAGCCTGCGGTAATTTGGAATAATAATGGAAATAGTTAAATAACTCTCTCATTATCAATACTGTACAGTAATTGGAATTCAGTTTTTGATTAAACAAGTATTCCTGTTTTATTCATATAGTTTTAGCTCCTGGACTGCATTCATGACAAAAACATTGATCCAGTGACATAACAGAGTTGGTTGTTCCAAACCTAAGTAAAGAACAAACTACAGTACACGACTGTAATCTTGAGACTTGCGGGGTGAAGGAGGAAAGATAGCGTCTGCCTTTAACGCTATGGACTTCCTGCATTCCTTGCAAGTCTCAAGATTACAGTCGTGGACTATGTTATCATTCACAGCAACCATGTTCAGATAGCACTGAAGTGAGTTTGGAGACAGATGACCTGAACAGACATGAATGCATGGCTATTCTGTGTGGTGTGATCAAACACATGGTGGATCAGGGAATCTCTCCAGCACCTGGTGCAGAAACTAAGGATGCAGTACTACCATCATGGATGGAGAGCGTGCGGAAATGCCTAGCTGATTCCAGTCGACATCGCAATGTCAGACTCTTTTTATTGAAACTTGTCCTGAATGTGGAATCTAAATTCCGTCCATATGCACATCATTGGGTGAATTGTCTGTTAAAGGTAAGACAGAGTCTAGTTTGAAGGAACATCACTCTGCAGTATTTTTATTTCATACACACTTTACAAACATTTATACAATTCATTTTCTCAAGCAGATGTGGAAACAGCTTAATTCTTACCTCACAAATATTATATTTATCTGAATTTTTGTCCTTCCAGTTTAGTAGGTGCATAAATCGCAGAATCTGAAATCATGCAAGAAAATTCTAAATTAAAGCACATTAAATAGGAACCAGTAGTGTGCTGGTGGATACAATGGAGCTTCACCTACTGTATGTGTATAGTATATGGTCCAGAAGCCACCAGATTACCGACATGACAACCATAAGCATTACAGTTTGGGAGTGGTCAGTTCATTGTAAAAAAATTATTTAATGAGCTGCAGTGTGAATAAATGGCATAAACTGCTGTTTTTTACAAATCTTTTCTTTATTGAAACAGTTACTAAAAATATTGACGAGTGACCGAATAGTAATATATTAAAAACTAATGTTCACTCTTTGGATTGAATGAACATAACACACAAACTTATCTCAGGAGGGAGAAAAAATTGACACCAAATTATATTTATTTTGGTATGCACTTTGTACTAATTCTCTTGGAAGGTGTTCCTGATATCTGATAACTTCTGGAAAATAATGATTGGCGTTACATTTATATATAAACAATTACTGAAGCTATACTATTTGTGTACAGGTAGTAGTTGATGGTGTTGCAGGCAGGACTCCTAATTACCTGCTATCAGATACTGTGGCACTCTTGGTGGATTGGTGTAGCAAAATAACATCTCTACCTGCCGCAGCTGAGCGTCATCAAGTAAGCCAGTTACTGGATTTGCTGATAAGAAATGTACATCATGATCGCAGGGATGTGTTCAAACACAACTTGGAACTTATCCGCACTGTAGTTGAATTGTGGAAACCAAATTTTGACATACCTCATCAGGTGCTGTATGACATGATTATGGTACGTATCATATTTAAATGTTTATCAGAATTTTAAATAATTGTTCATCAGCTAGGTTCCTGTAGTCATTACCATTTAAATGGTTCATAATTGTTCTGTTGTGTGGTTTTTCATTTCATCACCAGCTGATACTATCCAACAACTGTTTAACAGTTTTGTTATCTTATGTAACCTTAAGTCCTTCAACATCTAGATTTGGTCTTTGAACTGAGGAAATATTCATTCTGCTCAGTTGTATGAACTAATATATGATGATATATATCATGATTTAGATAAAAGACAGAAAGGATTCTACAGCTTCTGAACCAGGGATTCAGGTATCAGCCATTATTTTGGCTAATCATTTGGAACCATGGAGCAGCACAGGCAAACTGCAATTCCTAACAGCAGTATTAAGAAATCTAGACAGTGATAAGCGAAGTGTCTACCAGTCAAGTGCTGAAGTGTCAGGCATGGCACTTGGACTGTTGGATTCCAATGGAAATGGAATGCTAGAAGGTGATGATTCTGAGATCCACTCAAGACTCACTGACAAGTTGCGTTTTATCAAAGATAAATCAAAGGACAAGTTTCTTGTATGCTTGTTTGCTGTCCAGGAACACTATCCACGCATAGTAGACATGTTCATGAAACATGTATTGTTTCATTTACCGAGGACGTATGGTGAATTTAGGTGAGTGTACAAGATAAAGTAATATGTATTTGCTGTAAACACTGTTTCATTTACCGAGGACGTACGGTGAATTTAGGTGAGTGTACAAAATAAAGTAATATGTATTTGCTGTAAACAGAGTTTAATACTTGTTTTCATAATTTCCTGTTTTCGATTCCTGGTCTTTTATGGTTCCAGTTCTGGGCATAAGTGGGTCTGATGAAGGGTAAGGTGCTGAATTCCTGTATTATGTTCTCAGATCTGGAATGAGGTGTGTGTTCATAACCATGCCTCCTTCATCCCTCACCTTTGGTGAGGTGTGTGTTCCCAACCATGCCTCCTTCATCCCTCACCTTTGGGGAATAAAATTTCACCTTCTCCTGTGTGGAGTCCATTTTAAGTTTCAGACCATCACCAGAATCATCATAATTTTGGCATTACAAACAGACATCAAATGAATGAAATTTGAAGGTCATAAAGAAGTTTCAAAGATCAGCTGTGTGTCTTTTGATGACCTTAGTAAGCCTCATATAATGATCTATAAGGGTGCTTCCCCACTTCGTTACTTACATGTTTAATGTATACTGGCGTATCTTGTTGCAGAGTAATGTGTTTGAAGATAGCGTACTCAAGACTGGAAATTCTTGGTGATGAAATATATGCAGAAATGAAGAGTAAAGATTTGTTGAAAACATTAAATGATCGAGATCCTGACCAGCAGAACCTCGCTCTCCAGATGGTGCATAAAATGGTACATAAGTTGAAACCTGACCAGTTGAAGGAACTTATACAAGAGGTTTGCAAGTCTGAAATACGTCGAAATGTCGAGTGTCGGAAAGTGATGTATGAAATTCTGAAGTGGATTTATGATCACTGTCAAGATGTTGGTGGTAAACTTATAGAAGAAACAAAGTCAACACTGCTTAAAGGATTGACAGACGATGATCCACACCTTAGAGACGACATTTTCAAGTGAGTGAAAATTTTTATTCTTACAGGATTTGAACAGGTATGTGCCTGTAATCTTGTATATATGATTTTCAGCTTGTGTATACAGTTTTATCTTGTCTGTGTACCAGGTAGTAAATACACTGGGGCAGCAAGTGATGCAAAGAGAAGAGAACTTGCAGATTCAGCTCTTTCTTATTAGGTTTTGACTTATGTAATTTTTGCTTTGTGTAGGTACTGGAACAATGATGCACAGCAGAGAGAAGCAGCTACTTCTGTTCGGCTACTTTTCATCTTAACTGATCTCTACTGTCCGTCTACAGAACATCAGTTCCTTGGTTATTCAACACAGTTTCTATTAGAAGCTACAGTTGGGACACCTGACTACAATCGAAAGATGTTCAGTGAGCCCTTGCAGAAATGCCAGTTTGAAGATTTTAGGATGCTTTTGTCTTGGCGTGCCCAGCATGCTATGATTGCACCGATGTTCGCAGATACTCTGGCAAGTCAGCTGATTCAGTCTCAGTCTCTAAGCAGTACTGGAGAGTCGACTGGAGCAGAACCCCTCTTAAGAGCAACACAAGCAAGTTTGGCTTTCCAGCCTACTCTAGAGCAAGGTAAGCAATGTGTATTTGTTATTGATTCTTTCCCAAACTGTCAGCACGTGCTTTACCCATACATCCTTCATGGTAAATAATGGGATGTATTTCATGGAAAGGTGTAAGGAATGTATGCACAGTACAGATCCTCTGTTATCTTTACCCAGCTTAATCTTCACACTGAATGAGCCATGGTCATATAACCATTTCATCTGTAATGGAGAAAATGCCACTACCAATTTTTAGAATAACTGAATCATGGCACTGTAATCATAACATGCAATTAGGATGAAATGCCATTCCTAAAGTACAGGTTAAATTAAGTTAACGTGTTCACATCCATAAGAAATCAGCACAGTAAGTTTGTTGTTAAACCTATTAAAAATACTCCAACCACTTGCACTTCTGTGAAAATGCAAGTTTTATTTATTTATTTTTGGAAATGTAGCTTACCTGCCAAAAAGTATTAAAAATATTTCATTGGTATCATTATCTCTATCTCCACCCCACATGTCATTAACTTTTTTCCACCGACTGTACTTGCAGCTTTCATTCTAAAGGTGTTTATGGCTGGCAGTCCTTGATGTACTGTATTTGGCTAATGAACATTTGTTGAATTATTTTTGTGTGTTTGATTGTGCTTTGACTACAAAACAAGTACTTTCACATAAATATGTTGACATTATTTAAATAAGCCTTACATAACACATGTTTGATGTATGACTATGTGTTCATCTTCATTATATTCATTGTATATTAAATATCTTTTCAAGATTTTTTCCTTTTATAATAATATGATTCTTGTTTCAGGTGGAAGCAGTATTGGTAGTTTGCCATCATTTAGCAAGAATTCTAGCTTGCTCTTCACTACCAGCAGTTCTGGTGAGAAACAGAGAAAGTCATACAAAATGGGTCCAGGTTTTGGAAGTCACAAGTTAAAACTAGAACCTGAGGTGTCAGATGAAGGTTGGTACAGAAAGAAAAAAATTAAATGTTTTTAAATGCCTACTGAACGTAGCTGTCTTTATAAATTTCATATACAGGATTTTAATATAAAGCTGGTTGTTTCCATTTGAAATATTTATTAAATCGAGATAGGATAGGACAGTAAACCTGACTGACCCTAAGTGTCTGATGCTGATATTTGCCTTTAAACTGTGAAACTTGAACAATTAATTTCTGGTAAGTGTATTTCTTAGAATTGATAACTGGAATGTGACACTGAAACATAGATTGACTTAAAAAAATATTGTTATGCATTCCATTACAAGCACATGTGATTTTTATTTATGCCTGGTAAATAATGGAGTACTTTGTTTTGTTTCTGAGTATGTTAAATGTTCATTTCTGTAATGGATTAATGAAGTTTATTCTTTCTATAGTGGATAGTAACGTGGATCATTTCACCCCAAATTTGCGGCGGAGGTTTCTGCGCCATGACTATCAAAAGCGGATCTTTCATGCTAGTCAGGAAGTTCAGCGCTCAGCTAGGCGACAAGAGTTAGAACAAGAACGAGGTCGCCGGCATGAAGCTAACATAGCATCTTTTCGTAAATATCGCTCTGGGGACTTTCCAGATATTGAGATACCCTATTGTGCAGTTATCAGACCCATGCAAGAACTTGCTAAGGTAGGATTCTGTTTGTGTTCTTAGCACCTGGTATACTCACTTGATCTCTCCACCTGGTCCTTGGTATTCCCAGTGGTTGTTTATTTTCTATCTTCATTTTTGTGTTCTCAAAGGAATTACGTAATTACACATGTTGTTACTGCTGCTGTACTGCGTATCCTGACTGAGAATTTAATGGTTTTACTCAGCCTGTACAGATGAATGCCAGGGTAGTACCTTCTTCTAACTCTTCCTACTTACAGTTTGTAATTATTTTTCATCTTTCTTGATGCTGTAAAACAAATTTAATCAAATTAAATTCCTTAAGAATCAATCAACTTAGTTATCTTGCAATAGCATGCTTTTGATGCCACCAGTAGTGAAAAATAAATTACTAAGGAAAACCACAAAAGAAAAAAGATTCACAAATACTGAAATAATATGCTCATGAAAGCTTTTCAGATTCTTCGGTAATAAAGGGTTCACTCAGGAGCTGAATCAGTGTTCAAATTTTCATTTATTATACTTTCAGGTTGGTGTTCATTTTGAAATCTGCAGTTCTGAAATTCTGGTAATCTTTTGTCTGTGATACAATGTAGTTTCTATTCAACATTTAGCAAAATTCCGTATGTCTTTGTAGCGGGATACAACAATTGCTCGCCAACTATTTGTGTTGCTGTTCGAGGGCTTATTGGAAGAACTGCATGATGAGAAGAATGTGTACACAAAAAAGGTCCAAGAAGCAATGAGCAGTATTCTCAGCACTACAAAGGATTACACAGCCATGGTTATGGGAACTGTGATGGAAATTGCTCTACATCACGGCAAATATATTGTACTGCAACCAGAGGACATTGCTACAGGTATTTCTTGCATTGACATTGACTGTGATTTGAAGTATTAATAAGAAAACATGTATACAAGAAATATTTATTAGGAATTTTCATATATTTTGAATGTACTGTAAGGTTATAGAGTGGCTAGAGTTTTCCAACTTGTTGGGTCTTCAACTGAGGCCATTTTGTGTGAATTTGTGATTGTCGCCTGTGCTGGGGCATCTTTACTAGAGTAGGCTTACCTGAAATGTTCTAATTTCCCTGCTGTTCAGTGTGCCGTTGTTGATGTTGAGAGCCAAAGATAAAGGCGGTATGTTGCTCCAAAACGTTGGTATCTACCTGTAAGACCACACAGAATTCATTACACCCAGAAGACCAATGTCAACATCATAACTTACATGAAAACCTCAAATCTCATACAGTCTACAGAATTGTTTACTAAATAACCTTTTCATTTGATGAAAAAAATCTTTTTAAACCTTTTAGCTTGTTAAGTTCTGCCACATTAGTGCATCAGTTCTCTTGCTGTGAAGAGAAATACTGATTTAATGTGGATGGAAGATAGCTGTGAGTATACTGAATAAGTAGTTACGAGGACACAGGGCAGTGCATTATTTAAATTCATTAATATGGGATATTTAAGTAGAAATGTTTGAATATCATTATTTCCACAATTGTGAATTGTTCCTGTTTTATCAATAGAGAGCGAATAAGTTGTTGGCATCCTTCCGAAGTTAAAAAAGTAAAGATGAGTTTCTTTAACTTACAGCAGTGAATTTAAGAAACTTGGTCTTTGACATGAAATAGCTCCAAATTAAATTTTCTGTTTTCTAAAAGTGAAGTCATTTAGGTCCATGTATGTACGGACGTTAGAACTGTGTTTCAGCGTAGATTTGTATAGTTGACTAGGTTTGGAAGTAAAATGCAAATGCTGTAGACCAAACTGTATTGTTATTATGTGTTACTGTTACAGCATCACAGGCTAGTGGATTATTGGCTATGGGCTGTCTGTTGCTGGAGGAGAACTTAATACTCAGGGATGCGATTAGTGAAGATGGCCCTTCAAAGCGTTCCAAAACACTTGAACCATCCACTGAACAAAATTACTGGTTGATACTGGCTGAGTAAGTAGGTGTAAACTAGAACTGTTATCAGTAGTTCAGTAATGGCTTTAACATATGTTTTCACAGAGAATCTGAATACTGTGTGCGCATGCATATGTATTACCAGTACTGAGGAATAGTTTTCTTCGTTAGTTATGTGGACACACGTGTTAATTTTTTTGATAAGTTAATGATGATTAGAAAAGTGGAAAACCTGTGCCTACTGAGGTTGGACTATCATCATTATAGTACTTCTCACATTATTATTATTACTTTCCACAGGAAAGTTATTCGGTATAAACAAATGTGTTACATATTTTATGGAATGTCATGATACAAATTGTAATTGTAATTATTGCATCTTTCATTTACTTATTTTCTGCAAAATGGTTGTCATTAATGTGTGTTCTTCTTCTTCTTCTTTTGTAATCAATCCTAGGATTGGTTGGCAGCAGCTCTTTTTTTAGTTGCTGATACTTGGGAAATCCTGAGGATCTTTAATGCGGTGGATTCCCCTTGCCTTCCGCGTCCTATGCTGTTGACTGTTGCGGTTTATCCGCCTTTAGGGGTGATTTCTCATCCCAAGGGCATGAGGGATCTGACGCTTTCACAGCGACTAAGTATAATGAATTCTTCTCAGGCTACCAGCCATGTAAGGTGGTTTAACGCTCCTCAGGGTACTCCTGAGAACCCTGAGGATGAGGACGAAGATGATTCTCAAAACGGTGTTTTCTCCATTAAACCACCTGACACGGCTGGCAGCCCGAGAAGAATTCATTATGGTCATGGTCAGCTTGAAAGTGACTGCAAAAAATGCAACCTTATGTTCCTCATTAGGACACCGCTGTTCATGCAATTTTCTGTTATGAGTGGTGTTTAACCTTTATCTTGTAAACACAGTAGATGTTTTAATGTGCACAGGGAAGTTGTACAATATGGGACTTGCTCTCAGTCTTTCCAAATTAAATATTAGATAGAAATTTTAAATATGAGTAGGAGGCCTCATTAAACATCTTGTAGTGAATGTAATTTATAAATAGGCAGTAATTTTTTCTGTCATTGATAGTTAAAATTTGAGGACATAGTGTATTATGGAAATTATTAGGGAAAATGGGCATTTTGTAATTATTAGTTTTTTGTTGGTATTGGAATAAATATTGTATTTTCACATGAATCTAGCCTGTACAAAAATATGGATGAATGGGATGTTGTCCGAGGAATATTTCAAAAACACCTCAACTATGACGAGAATATCCACAGGGCATTACAGTGGGAAATATCAGGTAACTGGTATAATGCCAGAAAGGAATATGAAGCTGCACTCTCTTCAATGGATGGTGACAATATTTTGACAGATTACTACATTGAAGCAATGTATAAGGTATGTTCTTAATTTTTAATATTGTTTTCCAAAAGTACTTATAAGTATGATCTATTTTTAGATCTCACTGTCTACATGTACACTGCCTGATCAAAAGTATCCGGACACCTACGCGAAACTGTCCTCTAAGTGTCCCTTGGATTTACTGCCCAGTAGTGGACATTAATACGGGGTGGGCCCACCCTTGGCATTTATTACAGCTCTAACTCTGCGGGGGAGACTGTCTACCAGGTGTTGGAACGTCGCCAGGGGAATGGCCGACCATTCTTCCTGCAACGCTGTAGCAAGCGTAGTTAGTGATGTGGGTCGTTGGGGTCTGGCATGCAGTTGCCTTTCTAGTTCATCCCAGAGGTGTTCAATAGGATTGAGATTGGGGCTCTGGGCAGGCCAGTCCATTTCCGGAACCTTATTGTCCACAAACCACTCACGAACAGACCCTGCTTTATGGCAGGGAGCACTGTCATGCTGAAACACACAGTTATCATCTCCGAACTGGTCTTCTACCGTAGACAACACGCAGCTGGTCAAAATGTCCTTATATCCTTCCGCCTTTAACGTGCTCCGTAGTATTATGAGAGGACCAAGTCCCTTCCATGAAAAACACCCCCACACTGTCACCCCACCTCCGCCGAATTTCACTGTGGGCACTATACAGGCCGGCATGTAGCGTTCACCTAGCATTCGCCACACCCAAACCCTCCCATCTGACTGCCACATGGTATGGCGTGATTCATCACTCCAAATCACGTGTCTCCAGTCGTCCACAGCCCAGTGGCGGCGCTCTTTACACCACTGAAAGCGGCTTGCTTACTGATGTGGCAACCAATAACCATACCACGTTCGAAGTCACTGAGCTCCCTTGCTCCACCCATTCTCTCGGTATCGCGTAGCACTGAACAACATCGAGCCCTCTGCCTCCTTTTATAGCAGCAGTGGTAGTCGTAGTGATATCTACGTTTACGTTTACAGAGGGGTGTCCGGATACTTTTGATCAGACAGTGTATGTCAGTTGACAAAACTGAATTTTCTGCTTATTCCTAGTGTAAAAATGGTGATCTGTTGCAGTGCCTTGCTCATCTGACAGATTGGGAAAACCTGAACAAGCAAGTGAGATACCAAATTGAGGACAACTTTGATAAGTTATGGGAGGATGATTGGTGAGTACAGAATTTTCAAAATAAAAATAAGGTTTGCCTTGTAGGTTTGGTCTTATCCTGACAAGAAACTGAAATGGAAGTCTTTACAGTGTGTAGTGCATGTGCCATGGAGTGGAATTGACCATTGCAGGTTCGCCTAACTATTCCCATTTGATATGGCTTCTGTCTTTAAGTTCTTTTAGAAATAGACACTGAACTTAATCATTTCAGATTCAGTATGATATTGCAGATTACAGCATGCTTGTGTTTAATTTTATTTTGACTATATATGGATTTCATTTTTATATTTCTAGGTTAAAGGAACAATTGCTTCCAAAACTACTTTTGTCTGAGGTTCAATTGATGTTAGACAAAGGTGTTGAAGGCATAAGGGAACAACAGTTCCTTCAACAGGTTGATGGATGGTTGAAAGACAAAGATAGGTTCAGTTATCTTTCAAGGCAGTATTGTGAGGAGCTGGCTGCAATATTTCTAATCCAGGATAATGTAGCCCGAGCTCAACACCAAGTAGAATGTAGTTTGACAGCTTTCTTGAACAGCTGGTCAGAACTGAACCCTCTGTCACACAAGTTGCGTACAAAGCAGCTTTTGGATGTGCAGAAAACTGCAGAGTTACAGGTTTGTTGATTTACTGCACTGAGTACAATACATTTAAGCGAATAAGGGATAGCATAGTTTGTTCTTTTTAGCCTGTAATATTGTAAATTTCCTATAATTACACTGGATGTCTCAAGTTGGCAGATGGTTACACAGTTTCATGTCATATGTTTTTAATCTTTTCCTACCCTTTTTGCATTTGTTAAATAATATTTTGTACTGGAATCAAACTGCAAGGTTTCTTATTTAAAAACAGTAAAAAGAAGTGGGTCTCCAAGATCATACTTTGCCCATGACCCACCACTGCTTTAAAGTAGCCCTGTAGTCAAATGGTACAAACTCCTTAAAAGTAGGCTATACCTTCTTCCTTGTCACTCTTCTCCAATTCACAACAGTAGTGTAAACTACACATGCCACCTAATTAAACTATGGTATGTTAATTTCACATCTGGATACATAGTGGGGTCCGCAGCAGCCGCGCGGTCGGTGGGACCGTGGGTTCGAATCCCACTCAAGCCATGGATGTTTGTCCACGTTTTTCTGTGTTGTGCTGTCCTGTGTACAGGTAGAGGCCTTGCGATGGGCCAATCCCTTGTCCAAGGAGTCCTACCGAATGTCCATAGATCAAGCCAACGAAAAGTTGGGACCCGCAGTGCTCAGGCACTTGAAGAACGGGTCGTTCCCAGTATCCAGTACCAGGATACATAGTACTGTAGCACTTTATTCATGAATGTATGAACTGAATGTTGTATGTTAAACTACAAAGATAAAACTTTTTTTTAAATTTATTGTTGCAGGCCTGTCTTGCATTTGCCACAGGTGGTGAACACTCAAAGCGTGAGTTGCTGGCAAAAGATCTTGTACGAAGGTGGAGCAAGAACATTCCTAGTGTTTTTGATTCTTTGCTATGCTGGGATATTAAAGCAATGTACAGGTAAAGTTATTATTAGCACTGGATACATCTAATTCAGAAGTAATGTGAGTACAAAAAGTATGTGACATTGTAGTAATTATGTACCATGTATTATTTTATACTTGATAGCAATATTATTTTGTGCATTAGGAAGAAGTTCACCGGTCAAATTGATCAGATCCTGGAGAATGGTGATGCATCAAATGCTCTGAACAGTATGAATCTAGCCATGGTAGATTCAGCATTGTACCAGGAAAACTTCAACGTTGCAAATAAGTACTTGTTACAAAGCAAAGAGAAGGTACTGCAAGATTCATAATAATACTATTATTTTCACAAAGCCTTTGTGGAGATATAATCCACAAAGACCATTCAACACTTCTGAGTTTTGATTCCAACAGCAGCATTAAGATGTGGGTTTATGGTGCATGACCTTTTCTGTCTGTGTTTTCATGAATATGTTATTTAACCTGATTCCAAAAATATCTGCTTGTTATAATACTTAAGTATGTGAGTGGTTATGGTAGTTAAAATAGTGGTTGTAGCTGAATTATGAAAATCTTTATTGGAAAGAAACTCATGATTTATTATGTAGAATAGTACTGAAATGTAAATTGGTATGTTAATTTACAGGTGTCCAGAAGTGGTACTGACTTGGGTCTCCGGTGGAATTTGGCAAACAGCAAGGCACTCTGGCTTAAAGGACAGTGTATGAACACACCTGATAAGAAGCTAAAGTCAGGATTATTTTCCTGGAACGTGATAGGTAACTTCAGTTTTATTATGGGTACACTGGCTGCAACTTCGTTTGGATTTGTGTCTTGAACATGCACAAGCAGATTATTGAAGTCTTCAACTAAGCTATAAGCTAAAAGAATTAAATGTTCTGAAAAGTGAATTAGTAAATATAAAGTGTGGATGGAATTTTTATTCAAAAGAGTCATCTTCCATCTTGCTAAACTTCAATCACTTTGAATTCTGTAGTCTTTGAGGCT